TTTATGTTGTAGTTGGGCTTGAAGAGTTGAATTTTGTTATTGCCTAGATGACAAGAAATATAAGAACGCAAAAAAAAATGTTTAAGTTAAAAAATTAGTTTAATAAATTTTAGCATATCAGCGCTATTCTGCAGAGTATCACAAAATTCTTTGACATGCGATTAAAAGCATTAAAAATGAAATATGATTTTCCAGCAAAATTTTACTGAGAAATAAATATCAAACTGGTGACAATATAATTTTTGTGATAGTCGTAAGAATAGCACTGTATATACAATAAATCACAATAAAGTCTGGCAACATCAAAAACCTCGAAGTTTGTATTTTTGGCTAGAGTAATCATGAGAATTTCGAAATAAAAATGATTACAAATTAGTAGTTAAATAAATAGTTTTGCTAAATAAAATTTCTTTTGAGGTTTTCTACTGAATTTTATTTTGAACAGTGTTGCCACCTATTTTACAAGAAAAAATACACAAAAAAATTTTTTTTAAATAACAATTTTTGAGAGTTTTCTTTTCTTTATGCTTTGGCGGCCGCTTGCACAGAGTGGTTAGTGTACGCACTACCATGTGGAGACTCATGGATTCAAACACTGATCAGTGTAATATTTGTAATGATAAAAAATTTATTAAAAAAAAATTTTATATTTGTTATTGCCAACTCCTGCGAGTTTTGCTGTTCAGAGTCGACTTAGACTGTAAAGTTGCCAATTGTTTTAAACTAAAATCTTATATTTTTTTTGGAAAAAAAATTTAATACAAAAAAATATTTTTTAAACAAAAAAAAAATGTCATTAAATTTTTGTTAGAGTTGCCAACTAAAAAAATTAATTGAAAAGTATTAACGTGGTAAATAAAGTTAAAGTTTCAGACGATCACATACCAAACAAATAGAGTCTCCACAAATTTCTAACCTCCAAATGAATGAAGAAAACAATTTTTTTTTTGCACATTTAGCTTTGCTTGTGGTATTCGAATTTCAATTAGCCAAACTCTTCATAAAATCTATTTTCTCCTTCTATTTGCAGACAAGTAATTTTTCCAAACAAATTAATTGCCGGCAAAACGTGTGGATTTTTATTATGATTTTTTAATTAATAAACTAAAATAGTTACAACACTAAAATGCAAATAGAAATAATGGTTTGAGGAAACATATATTTGAAAACTAAATAAAATAGTAAAAATAAATAAATTAAATAAATGGAAGAACTAGTAAAACAATCATAAATAAAATTATTAAAACCAAAAAAAAAAAAAAATCTTAGAAAAATATTTAAAATCACTTCTATAAATGTTATATGAAAGTTTAATTGTTAAAAGGTTACAGAATTTATGTGTATGTGTAAAATGTTTATATAAACAAATGGCAAATGAGAGGAGGAAAAAAATGTATATGTATTCGGAGAACTTTTTTCTTAAATTTTGTGTATTTTGTGTAGCAACTGATTTCGAAAGATATGAAAATAGAAAAAATAAATAAATAAATATGAAGATGAGAATAAGAAAAATTGAAAATAAAAAATAAACAAATTAATAAAATATAATATTAAATAAAAAAAAATTAAGGATATGAAAAAGTTATGAAAAAGACATTCAAAAGCCATGTACGAAACATTATTAGCGACAAAGAAAATTCATTACCAAGAAAGCAAAGTGTTTGCAGCAGGTTAGACAATTTAATGAAAAATTATTGATATCAAATTTAATTTAACCAAATATTGATAAAGTATTATATGCATACATATATGCACAAACTGATGTGTAAAAGCGAGGGAAAAGTTACACTTTTTCTTGAAAAAAAAAAAAAAAAACAAAAGGGAAAATTTACTGAGAATTTGCTTTGCGAAAGGCGTCATCAAGTATTTGATTCATAAAATTTCATAAAATTTCATAAAATTTCATAAAATATACATATATACATATAAAGATACAAATACTCATTGATTCATTAATATTTTCGTATAAACATAACTTTAAGCATTCATAAACTCGTAAGAAAATTGTAATATTTATATAATATAATTGCTAGAAAATAATTAAATTTTTATTTCTTATTTATTTTTTTTACTAATGATTATAAAAATTAATGAAAAAATATTAACAAAGTAATTTATAAATAATAATTAACAAAAGTATTATTACAAAAATTGTGCAATAATTTATATGTATTTATGGTATTATGTAATACTGAAGCTGACCAGAAATAAAAACAAAAACAAGTCATCAATGTACCCCCATGTATTTGAAGTAAATAAATTTTTGTCGTTTTTGAATGAAATATTTAGACTTTTTAATCACACTTTATTTTATAAATAATTTTTTTTTCTTTTAACTTGCGGAAGTCTGAGTGAGATTCTACATTTATTTACATTTTTTTTCCAAAATTTTATAAAACTTTAATGCTCAAAAAAAAATTTATATATTTTTGATTTCTTTTTAAAATACAAAGTTTTCTGTAAGTTTTGTATATAGCTTTTTATTAATTAACTTTTTATATATATATATACCAATAAATTGTATTATTTTTTTTGCTTTTCTATAAAAAGCAAAGTTTTCAGAAAGCTTTTATTTCGCTTTTTTAGTATTTTTTTCATTTCTCGTTCAAATATAAAGCCCGCTGTTAGCTTTTTTTTTTTTGAAGACTTGCAATAATTCTCCAAAACAAAAAAAATGATTTTTGCTTTCTCTTTAAAATACAAAGTTTTCATAAAAGCTTCGTTATAGCCTTCCGAAGTAACTGAAGCTTTTGATTTTTATGATAATTCAATGACATTTTATTACGACTGACATCTTTTCCCACATTTTAAACAATTTTTATTATGAAAGCTTAGATGCTGCTTGGGTGTGTGAAATAAACATCACCGATAGTACATAATTTAAAATGCAAAACTTTTATGAAGCTTTCAGGCAGAGGATTGAAAGTTGTGCAGCGCAAAATAAGAAAAAACTTACTTCGTGAAAAAAGTAAAACTTTTTATAAAGAGATTCTTGAGAAAATATTTAACCTTTTCACAGCTAAGCTAAGCTTTTGTGGAGCTTTCTTTAATATACACCAGAAATATGTCGAAGCTTTGGTTTGTCGAACTTTCATGGACCTTTCAACAAAGTTAAATATAAAACTAAAATCTGTTCTTTTGGTGTCGAAAAGAGCTAAAGCAGCGCATAAAAAATTTTTCTTTAATAAAAAAAAGAGTACGCATTTCTTCTCGAACTCTACGCTCTGCTTACTTCATTACGAAATACCTTCTCGAATTCAAATAAAAGTCAGACGATTTGCTTTTTAAAGTATAAACTGAATATTCTTCCATTATCTTTATACAGGGTGCACATTTGAGTTTTAATATAAGGTATAAATGACACTGTCTGCAAGCTCTCGTAGCTAGCAGCCGAATTAAATTCCGTTCCAATCTCTCTTTGCGTTCCTCCATCTTTGCCTGCACGTGTATGGCCAAAACGCCGTCAAACTCATCGGCGCCCAACTTAATATCGGCGAAACCCCACTCATCCACCAGCACTGCCTTCCCTGTGCATTTACCATTCACAAGCGCACCGGAGATCACATCACAGTAGACACCCGCGGAGAGGCAGGTATACAAACGCTGCGTAAGTTCCCAATTATTGCCATTGAAGGCGATGAAACCTCGGTTACCACGACAGAAAGCGATTTGATTGTCATCGTTATCCCACCAGTTGGACATTTCGGTGCCGCGCACGGCATTCTTGAAACCGATCATATTATAAATCTGCCGCCAGCGGTGCTCGCAAACCCAACCATTCATGCAAGCGCCAGCCGTATCGAATTGCGGCGAGAGTATTACTTCGTCGGCATCGGCAGGTGGCGCCTGATCGTGTTCAACAAAATCGAATGAGCTCATCACACGCGTAATACCGTAAGGGTAGGCCAGTGTGAAGGCAGTAGCCATTTTGTATTGTTTCGCATTTTTATAGGTTAACACGCGCCCACCTTCTCGTTGATTGTCGTGATTGTCTACGAAAACAAAAGCATGCGCGGAGGGTAGAAAACCCCAAGCGGGACCCCAGTTACGCAGCCACTTGAGTTGATTGTGTCCACGAAAAGCGCCACCAATTTCCTCCGAGAAACGGAACTCTGTGACAGCGCCGAGTGGACTATATTCATATTTGCTAACCGCCTCATAACCATGATCGACGACCTCTTGGTAGATGAAGGGACGCGCATTGAATGGGAAACCGTGTGCGGTGTTGAGATTCACCACATTATCATAGATGAGCTACAGAGTGTGGGTAGAAAGAGGGAGAGCGTAAGCAACGTGTGAAGAGAAATATCTACTGAGCTGTATTACCTTTAACTCCTCCGCGGGTATATGTTTAGCGGCGTCTACACGAAAGCCAGCAACACCCAACTCAACTAAGTAATTGAGAAACCGCAACAAGTGCGTTCGCACCCTTACACTACTCTGATCCAAGTCTTTTAGACAGATCAGCTCACAATTCTGCACTTGATAACGATCATTCCAATCTTGTATATCACAAGTGTCATGAAAATCTTCTTCCGTATAAGGTACTGCAGGAAAATACTTTGCGCTCGGATAAGCTACCGAGCCGCCTGTGCCGTACACTGCACCCTCATGTGTGGCCGCCATATGATTGAGCAGCACATCGACATAAATACGTACGCCCACATCGTTACAACGTCGCACCATGTCGGCGAACTCAGTCTCATTGCCGGAACGCGTAATTAATTTATAAGATACCGGCTGATAACGCTCCCACCAAGGACGTCCTGGTATGACAACATTTTCGGCAACGGGTGAGACCTAAAGCAGGGGTTGAACAGAAATCATATTACTGTCTACTGTCGATCAATCAGAAATGTGCTCTTTCACCTGTACACCTGCAAAACCGCGTGGCGCTAAAAACCGCTCACACTCCGCCGCTATATCCGTCCACTTCCATTCGAAGAGATGCACAATCGTGTTGCGACTGGCCAACCAATGTGGCTCGTGTTGGCCGCTCACAGCGGCAGCGAGCGTTAGCAAGACCGCTGTGCAATAGCCCAGACGATTAGCTGCGAGCATTTAGTGCACATTTGTGCCGACCGTTAAATGTAGCGTATGTAAAACGACTACTCCCGTTGTGGGAAAGCTTTTAAGCTTTTATAAGGTTTTCACTCCGTAGACATCTATTTGGGTAAGTTTTAGCTGGCTTTTATCGCCGTAGGCTTATCGACATGATAACGTGAAGAGATATTTTTGTTTTCAAAATCATTGCAAAGATTACAAATACCAGAAATAAAGTAAAATATGATAAAAACAATTGAAAAAATTTTTTTTTTTTTCATTTTGCTTTGGACGGTTGAGTAATTTTCACATGAATGAAAAGTTCGTTGGGCTGTATTTAGTGAAAAAGTACCAGCGTAACTTATCACCTGCTACTTATGTGCAATCATTCACCAAAATCACTTATTTGCACTTCTTTGTTGTAGTTTTATAGCACATATAAATTATTAGAGCTTTGAAAAGTATAATAGTTTCTTCATACGTTTTGGGCATGCCATTCGCCAATCGATTGGCTGTGGTTTTTTCTAGTGATTAATAATAAAATTATTATTATTAAATGCAGTCGTCATAAATATCGCATTCACACGTCTGTTCTAGGAAGATAAAGATAAAATAGAAGAATTGTTTTGCTTTTTGTATAGAAGAATTGCATACAAAAGGCTTTCTATTTAGCAATTTGTCATAACTAGCTGAAATTAAAATAAACCGGCTTCAAAGTACATGAGAAATATCACCATAATTTTGGAGCAATTTCTTTGAGTGCCCAACAAAATTTGACTTTTATACAAAATTTCTTTCAAAACTCTTCTAATTAACCAACTATAAACATGAAATTCACTATGCCGTTTACCTATCTGATGCAGATGTTCGAATACTTAAAAAAAATAAAATCGTTTAACAATATCACAAAATTGTCATACAAATGACTGTTCAAAAACGTTACTTTTGGCTATAATTTCGCTATTTAAGCAGCAAAAATCATGGAACTTTGTAGTTCAATGACAAATTAATTTTATAAGGCTGACAGTACAAATTAAAAAAATCGAATAACTCTATCACCTAGCTGCCATACAACGGTTTCCTCAAAAACAGAGTTTTCAGTCATAACTCCATTATATAAGCAGCTAAAAATGGGAAATTTCGTGTACCACTTATGAATTATATGCGTATTGCTGTCAATAAAAATAATTGAAATTACATAACTTTAACACATACCTGCCATACAACTATTACTTCAAAAATAACATTATTTGTCTTAACTCCAGTATTGAAGCAACTAAAGACCAGAAATTTCGCATACTGCATACGTATTACATATATAACGCTGATAGTGAAAATGATCAAAATCGGTTAACAACAACATGTAGCTGCCATACAACTTTTGGTTCAAAAATGGGATTTTCAGTTATAACTCCAGTTTTTAACAGCTAAAAAAACATCACATACAGTATTTCTTCGAATATATCTTTTATTTAAAATCGATATATGTTTTCTCAGCAATGAAGTTTTATAGAACTGTCTTCATAAAGAAATATTTGGCTGTGGCTCTTGTTGTTGTAACCGCAAAAATATTCCGCAAAGTAGTTCCAATATAAGGACCCGACTGTCTCGAGATCTGCAGGGGGAAAGAAACGTTGCTGAAAATATCAGCTTTCTAAAACACATTAGTTTGACACACGTCCTAAACCACAAAAGTGCTTTTTACCATGACCACAGACTCAAATTCGAATTGGAAATCCCTCATTTTTTAAAATTGTTACATTTAATTAAACCAAAAATAAGCTGAAATTACTCAAGTATGTTATGAAATGGGCTCCAAGTAATTTTAAACTAATCTGAAGCTTATTTCGAAAATATGGCAAATTATATTAGGTTCAAACCTCAGACCGACTTCGAAATTTTCGAAAACAATTCTGAAGTAACCGGATCTGAGTAATATTAAGTAATGTAGAACAGTTGTAAACTGTTTCTGAAATGTCAACTTTATTCCAAAATCAGTGGGAATCAGTTTTGAATTTTTTTCCGAAAACACTCGAAATGATCTCCTACCGAAACTATAATTCCACCAAGCTAAGCGGAGCTGATCCAGCAGTCCTCAAAATTGTTCAATTTGGGATCGTTTCAATTGATTGCAGTTGGTACTGAAATATTAAAAAAAATGATCTTAAATCGGAATTCGATTTGAAATTGGGTAAGTAGTAAGACTGTGTTAAAAGTAGTGTCAAAGTGGTTCATAAATGAGACTTGAATTTTCAAGAAGTCGCAAGCAATTTTTTACTGTTTTTTTTTCGGAGTGGACAAATTTTTAATGACTGAAACTAGTTACAAATTAGTACCAATGTGGTGGTGAACTAGTTTCAATGTTTAAAATCTTCAATTTTTGTTGCGAACAGGCTCAAAAAGGTGATGGTCTGGTTTCGACACTTAAAACCTACAATAATCGAATTTCTTCAAGTTTGTTTTTATTTCCAGATTGGCTTTTATTTCTTCCGAAAAATAAATTTTTTTACCCAGTGAAGAAAGTAGTAGGTCGAAAATGGTGAAAAACTAGTTCCGACATTTAAAAACTAAAAAAATCGCATTTCTCACAGGTCCTATTGAAAACATCGTACTTCTAATCGAATCTAAGGTTTTTTCTTCTTATTTCCGAACCAATAGAAATTGTAATGGTAGCGCTAAAGGTAGTTTTAAACTAGTTCAAAATGGTGTTGAATTAGTTTCGATGTTTTTAAAACCAATTTTTTTTCTATTTTTTTTGCATTTCAATTCACATTTAATTTTTTGACTTCTTAAATTTAACTTTTAAGTTTTTTCCACTTTTTTCATATTAAAAATGGTAAAAAATAATTTTTATTTTATTCCACTTATAAAAATATCGATTCGTTTTCCACATTGAATAATCAGCACTGAGTCATCTTCAGTTTCTATTGGGGGAATCCCTTTCAGCATTTACTTATTTAAAATTATTATTTATGAGTAAGTACTCATCGCTAAAAATCACAATTTCGGCCCAAATTCGTGAACTTGTAATTTTGATAAATTTTCTGTGATAATTTCTTATCAATGATACTTTTTTTTTCTAAATATACTTACATACTTATGTCATAGATATAAATTCTAAAAAAAAGTATTAAGAATTGTTGTGGCAGAAAGTGTCGAGTGCTGATAGGAAACGATTGCATTTGGAGTGTTTTTCTTTGTGAATTTTCCACAGAAATGTTTTTCATCGTCTTTGCAATGTACCGTTACAGCATAGCACTCGCATGTATAGCCCAAACGCCGTCAAACTCATCGGCGTTCAATTTAATATCGGCGAAACCCCACTAATCCACCAGCACCGCCTTCCCCGTGCATTTACCATTCACAAGCGCAACGGAGATGACATAACAGTAGACAGAGTAGACATATTTTCTGCCGGTATTTTTATCGTAATTTTTATTTTTAATATTATTTGATTTCATACATTTCAATATCTTTTTCTTTCCAGACATTGAACTAAATATTTTTAATAGTTTTAACAATATAACTTTTATTTTTAATTTTTATATATTTTCTTGCCTTTCGTTATTACTCAATCTACTTTGAGTTATTTTCTTGCTTTATCAATTTTCTCCATTTTATTGTACCAGTTTATGGGAATTTTTCGTAGCTTTTCACGCATTTCTAACTCCTCCACATAATGCTTTCTCAACACAACCGTTAGATAGTAGATTACCTCCACTATAGAGATCATACTAACGCCAACGAAGAGACTAAAAGCGCTGCCCAAGTTGGCTGAAAGTGAAATAAATGGAAAAAGTAGAATAAAGAAACAATTATAATTGAAAATAATTATAAATAAATATAGCTAAGTGGAAAAGAAATTAAAAAAGTAAGAAAACAATAGTTATTTCGAAAATTTACCGGTTTGAGGTTCGACGCAATATTGTTGTTTGCTCACGATATATTTCGATTACACGTTCGGTAACCGTCTTCAGGGGGCAGTAATCAATAATATAAACAAAGTTTCGATGTGTAATCGAAATATATCGGGAGAAAACTAAATATAACATTGTTTTTATTTTTTCGGACCTAAGTCGGCATACTTTTTTAGTTTAAAATAAAAGAAAAGTCGCTAAAACCATTAATACTAAAAATTAATAAATAAAATATGGAAATAAAATTAAAAAAAATTTTGATAATCGTTTAATTATTTAATATAAAATAAAATATTAATAATAATAAAATATCTATCGTTTCTGTTCCTTACATTTTTTTGTTTGTAAAAAATATTTGGAAATTATAAAAAAATAAAAAAAAGAAATAAAAAATATTTTATTTTTAAATAAAATCGAAATTAGAAATAAAAGCAAAATAGTAAATATCAAACGAAAAAATTTTAAAATAAAATAATGATTTGAGATGAAATATACGAATACATATATTGTGCAATTTTTAATATACCGCCCCCCTCCCAAAAAAAAAGAAGAAAATAGGAGAAAATAAAAGAAAAAAGTAAGTAATTTTTTTTTATGCTAAAAAACATAAAAAATATGTAGATTAAAAATATTTAAACATAAAATATAAAAAAAAATTATAGCAAACAAAAAATATACAGGACGATTAACAGTAAATAATAAATAATTTAATATGTTAAACACAATCAAAAAATTGTTAATTAAAAATAAAAAAAAATTAAAATATATAGAGTTTAAAATATAAAACACGAAATTAAGACTGTTTTATATTCATTAAATTGTGTTCAAAGTTTAAACTAAAAAATTATAAATGCAAAATAAAACATAAATTATATTAAAAAAAATAACAGTGAGAAATATGAAGAAAATAAAAGATTAATAAAATAATTATATATCATTAAATTTTTGATAAAAACTTATAATAAAAAATATAAAAATGAATTAAACAAAAAGTAAGCATTAGAAATTATTTATTTTTAAGGCGAAAGAAGATTTTGAAATCACAAATTAAAGTTTTAAATTCTGGAGATCTTTTAATATTAAAATTAAATTTAATTACAAATAAATAAAAAATAAAAAATTAATTTTTTTAATATGAAAGAAGCAAAATGAATATCTAAATTTAAAATAAAAATTAAATTAGACTAATATAGCAAAATAACAATAAGTATTATGAATAAATAAATAAATAAATAAATAAATAAATAAATAAATAAATAAATAAATAAAAAAATATAAAAATAAATAAGAAATGAAACTCGTAGGTTTCCTTTTACGAAGAAAGGAGAGTTCAAAAGAAAAATGTACGAAAAAAATGTAATAAAATACCGTTAATAATTTGACTCACAAACTAATGTCACCATATTTGAGAGCAGATCACGTCTTGCGCGCCGATATACTTGATTATTCATAAAAATATGTACTACAGTATGATTCGCCTGGATATTGTTACTAAAATTAAAGTAAAAAAAAAAAATATATTTAATTTTTAAAATTTAAATTAAATACTTGATGATATTCAAAACAAATATTGAGTATAAACTAGCCAATATCTAACTTCCCAACCTCCGATTGGTTTTGAAGTACCAAGAAGAGGCAAATCAACCCAATGGTACTCTTCTCTCTCTTTCATACTAACTGTAGCCGTCAAACAGCATTTGGGTAATGATAAAATGCTCTTGCTCATGTCTAGAACGACGTTCAGGTATGTGGATTACACTTCTTGGGTATGATTTGGGGTCTCATTGAGATGGTTCTATGTACAATCTCTTTTAAATCAACGTGGAGGGACTTATTCTATGAGAAATAATTTTTTATTTTCATTTCAAAGGGTTCATTATAGGTGAGCTGAAAATACCTTTGCATTTAAAACGACACTGCAGGTTACTCGCTCTCTCTTCTCTGTGGGTTAAAAGGTTTAAGTACTTACGAGCAGTAAGAAAAACCTGTCGTAAAATACATTCAATATTTTTGACGGAACGAACCGGTTTTCTATACGCCCAAGTACTGCCACTAACGCCCTCTACTCAAGCCAGTCATTCTACCAAAAGTGTGGCTGAATACTGCTTCTTACTTAAAAATAAATGGAAATATCTGATAATTTCTTTACATCGACAGACAAGACAATATCTTAGCCGTTCGCTGTGGCTGGAGCTGAAGATCCGATCTATTAAACCGATTTTCAAATCAAATTTTCTATGGACCGTAGGAGCAAAAAAACCCCTCAGTCTTGGCATGTTATCTTCAGATCTTCGCATTGCTACTAAAATGACTGGCTATCTACTGCTGTTAGATTGGAGAGCCGGTGTCAGTAGCTAACAGAGACCAATGAGAGTCTTAAAGGCAGTTGGTTAACCTCACACACATTTCAATCAGAGTAAACTACAAGCATACTAAGAAATAAGCTTTTTAGCCTCGTTCGTTGGGTGTAATGAGTCTCAGTTATCTCCATCTTACACTTACTAAAAATCATCCACCGTCGGTATATCAATGTTCAACTCGGCATTGGTCAGTTCTACATTGAAGTCGATTATTTCGCAGGTGTTTGGGCAATAGAACTGCATATTGAGAGAACGTCCAATAATAGCGGCTAAAAAGGCAAAAAAAAAACTTACATTATTCTCTTATGAATTAACTGCCGGATAAACACACACACACCAAAATTATCCCGTAAACATGGTACATCCCTGAACGAACAAACCCGCTCTGCCGTGTCGTTTACATAGAAAAAATATGTGACGCAACCGCAGATCGCCAGCATATTCTGAACGCGGCATTCCAGCTCACAATTCATACCAACATATTGTTCAAAATGTTTCAGCGGAAACTCATGCGGCAATACGCATTGTCGCTGGTCCACGGAGAGTTCTTTAACATCGCGCGAACAGTACGTCTCGATTGGGCGTACGGAAAAAAAAGTCTCCTGGTGCAAGGGTACAAACTTGATGATAGAGTGCGCACTCGGAAATGCGTCATTCTCGGAGATTAACACTTTGAAGCCATCCGAATAGGTTGCCATCTCACCATAATCGGTGTCATTGTATTGAAGTATCAGCGAGAGACCATTGAAGAGGCCGGCACGAGCATGCTGCGCAGTGTAATTCAATCTGTGTAGAGTTGGAGTGCAAAAAAAGAGAGTGCTGAGTGTAAAATAAAATATTGTATGTACTTCTCTCTCTCTCTCGCTCACCCGTTCTGATTGAGATTGAACGAACAGCAGTAGCCAAAGAAGGTGCGCGAGAGCTGTAAGAGCTGCTTACAGTCCATAGTTTGCCACTTGAAGCGGCAGCGAAATATGATGTCTTCACAATTCCAGTGCAAGTGTTTCATGAAGCTCAAAGTGCTTAAGTTGTTCAGATCCTGGATGCTCTGTAGTAATAGAACATGCGTTTCATTGTAGACATCATCGTCGTTTAAGAAGCCTTGAGATGTGCTTAACATCGGTATGATTTGAGTGACATTAATACCAGCCGGAAGTGTGCTGAGGAGGAGAGAATGGAATATATGACAACACGATATACGTTAAGTGGAACAGCAAACCAAAGAAAGAAGGAGAGAGAAGAAAGGACTTCTAAGATTCTAAAAATTGTTAAGTTGCCCACCGCAGTACTTGTCTATATTGAAAAATCATTAAGTCAGCTTATGCTCTGTGTACATCTTAAAGCGAGAATTGTCACTAAGCAGTGGTGAAGCTCTACACTACCAAAGGAAACCAAAACCTGCCTTGGTTCCCGGAATGAGGAGCTCCTTATGGGAGGTTAAATAAGAGCAAAGCTCTTTTCCTTCCTCCAGCCACTTGAGTCACAGCTCAATAGAATGTTATTGCTCTCCCCCTAATACTTACAGTTCTCCCAAATACTTCTTCGATTGTTCTACATTAAAAGTTGTCTCCGGGCAAATGGTCACAGCCGGAAATGTTAGACTCTCAATTGGTGCATGATTCTTTTCAATATTCAACCGAGTCGGATTACTGCGATAGTCTAAATAAATGTTGATCACCATTAAGATGGCACAAATAAACATTATTAAAGTGATGACCATCCAGATGGAGCTGTGAGAGTAGAGAGAGAGCAGATATTAAAAAATTTAATGTATTAATTTAGAATAATAAATAAATAAAATAAAAAAAAATTAAAATAAAATAAAATAAAATAAAATAAAATAAAATAAAATAAAATAAAATAAAATAAAATAAAATAAAATAAAATAAAATAAAATAAAATAAAATAAAATAAAATAAAATAAAATAAAATAAAATAAAATAAAATAAAATAAAATAAAATAATAGTTTTATGTAAATTAAAAAAATGTGGTCTTATTTGTTAAAGTTAAATTAGAAACAACAATAGTATTAAAGAATTAAAAAATATAAAAAATAGCTATGTAAAAGAGTAAAAAATAAAATAGATTAAAGAAAGAATACAAGCAAATTAAATTAATTTAGAGAAGAGTTAATTTTTTTTTTGTTCATAGGAAATTTTATGTTTTTATTCACTTACCGCACAAATTTATTTGTGTCTCTATCCTGCGTATATTTCAGGCCGTGTATACTACTTGAGTCGCAAAATTCAAGCCAGGTTCGCTTGAGTGCCGCCTGCAAGGGTGACACAGATTGCTTGGAATTCTTCAATATGGCCTGAACCATTGTGGTGCTATAATATGTGGAATAAATGGTCTTAAAATATTAATATCCGCTAATGCAATTATTTATTAGTTGTAATAATTCAAAATTTGTGCGATGCATGTAAATAAAAATAAAATACTTTTTTTCGTCTAAAGATAGCCACTATAAGTTACATGGGGGATAAAAATATGTATATTCTTTGTACTAAATAGCTGTTGATAAATATTTGCTATACACTAGATTTTATCATAAATTTTCCATTATTTCACGTATTTTCATATCGATTAATATTATTGCAGGTTTTTTTCTTAGTTTTCGTATTAGTTGGAACTGTACTGTCGTTTGCACTCACACTAAATATATACAAAATATCTTTTATTTAAAAATAGGAAGAAAATATAACCACTCAGATCCTAATTTAATTAATTTTACTTTAATTTTATTATATTTTAATCAATTCTATCTCGTTCAATAGAATTTAATTCAATTTAAATCAATTAAATTTTGTATTATTTCAATATTTTTTATTATTTTATTACTTTTTATTTGATTTTATTTTTAATATTTTAATTTATTCTGTTTAATTTAAGTTAAATTCAAGTTGTATTTCTAAGCTTTTTTTATTTTATTTCTTATTTCACATTTTTACATCTACAATTTCTTATTAATTTCCTAGCAGTTGTGTTTTCATAGCCGAACTAACGAGGATTTCTAAGTTTATTTTCTTTTATATTAAGCGAATATAAATATTTAATTAAAATTTCGTTATATTCAATTAAAATCGCATCAATTTCCACAAAAACATGTGTTTTCTGCTTGGAGGGCGTACACCAGAATAAAAATCACATACAAGTAAGTGTTGTAGCATACCTGCAGGCGCCATTGTCGAAACGTTGTAGCTAATAAGGCTTTTGCCGATAAACGCGTACATATGAACAATATATGTATGCTTCTGAGTTTATATGTATTTAAATATCACAAGTGGTAAGCTTTCTTACTTTGAAGTTGTTGTTGTGTAGCTAAAATTAAATTTGAAATGCATTTAGCTAAGCTCTGAACCATTTCTTACCATATTCAATGTGGCGCTATTATCGCTTTGTATTAGCTCTGCGCAAGTACACTTGTAACACTTAACGGTGGTTCAACAACAAATGGATATCTGCCGAAATAGCTCAGTTGGGAGAGCGTTAGACTGAAGATCTAAAGGTCCCCGGTTCAATCCCGGGTTTCGGCAGTTAAATATAATTTTTTAATTAATTCTGCAGTAATTTCATTTAAATAACAAACAAAAAAAACGAAATTAACTAAAGTAAAAAATAAGTTAAAAATACGAAATAAATGCTGACGCTGGTTGTTACTGATTCCATTTGTTGCTTGCTTAGCAACAAAACTCAGCCGTGCTTAGTCAGTCAGTCAGTTGTTTGCAATTATACACTTTCGCTTGCTGACGTATGTACGTACCTATGTATGTAGCTATGAAAATAAAAAAAAAATTTAAAATGTCGTTTATATGTACATACATACTTATATACGTATATGCTCTAAATTAAAGAGAAAAAAATCAATTTGTTTGTATTTGTTGATTTGTGCCATTTATTAAACATATATTGCATGGAAAATTGTGTACACAAACACATACATGCACGTACATATGTATATGTGTGTACGTCAACATTAGCATAGTCAAAGTTTAATAATTGGTCTACCTGCGCGGGTAAGCACGCACGCTCACCAACAGCAAATAGAACCGGATGTTTTGTACGAAATCTGAATTTGCTGTATTGCAAAAATAGCGACAAAAACAAAAAAAAAATATATAAATAAATAAAATAACACAATAACAAGTTAAACAATCAATCGAAAAACAACATTTGTACATACGTATGTATGTACATATATCTGTATGTTGCCAATCGGCTGCTGCCGCTCACGTTTCTCAACGGCAGTTCATTCACCCCTTTCTCTGCAACCAACTTGACCTTCTCAGCGCGCAGAACTACGGCAAATGCAAGCTTTCTAAGGCGTCTAGAATTTCAAATACACTAACTCAATATGCATGTGTATATACATATATACATGAGTACATAAAAATTTGTTTGGTACTCACATTTATGCTTCTGCGCGGCCTTCACTGTTTGATAATTGCGCCACTTGAAGGTCAAAAGACAAGCCTCCGTCCAAGCAATATAAATAAGATAAGGTAATAAAAATTGTAGATTTTCAGGGTTGTAGAAAGCGACCAATTAAGAAGCAATTAATATTAGTAACAAAATGAAGCCTTATCTTTGAAATGCATTAATTGTTATTATTTCTTAAGGTAAATATATATAAAAAAAATTTGTATTATTTAAATTTCGTTACAATGATTGATGGGAATATATATTTTTATACAAATATATGAGTATGTAGTAAATAAAAATAAGAAATAAGAAATTATTAAAAAACATAAATTAAAATTTTATTATAATAAAATATCAAAATATTCTTTAACAAACCTCAAAAAAATTTTCCAAAAAATTGAGCCGAGGCACATTTTTCTGTTTACATCAGTATTTATGACAAAAAAGGTTAAAGAAAAAATCAATAATAAAAAATTAAAAAAAAATAGTGAAAAATGTATATAAATATGCATAGTCCATCAACTCCCTCAAAAGCGCCGCTAATTCTTCTCAACTTCCTACTGTAATGCAATTAGATTGAATGCAACTCAACCTGAAAAGACTTGCCACCGCCAGTAGGCGCTGCGACAATCATTTATCCACCGGAATACCAAAAAGGATATGTGTGATAAAACACCAAAGTCCTCGAAAAGATAGTTATGCCCATCCTTGCAGATGAAAAAGGAGGCTGTGATCCACTCACCGCTGCTCTCTATAAATATGTGTATGAGACCACTAGACCACTGCGGCGTCTTCCAAGCAGTCCGAAGGGTCAAGCTGTCAACAGATCTTTACTGCGTCACAGCACCACTACTAAAGTGGCGATAAAATGTGGGAGCAATTTGAAAAAGAAACTTTCGATTAAACGCAGCATAATCGTGGCCTGGGTAGTCTGGACACAGCAACACATCCCAAGCAATTGCATGGCAGATGAGCCAGCGAGAGCAGGAACTCTTTTATCCACAATAAAACAAGGAAACGATGCGGATTTAATAACTTTGACAATTTTATGCTAAAACTGGTTTTTGCCAAAGAAGTCAGTTCAAGATGGCTGAATGAGATTACGTGCAATGTGACCCGACAATTGGGACCACAATTGGACGCGAAATCAAACATCTTTTCCTACTAAACCGACTCTCCATTAGCATAAAGAAAGGTGGTATGAAAGGGCACTGTTTAATGGGTCCTCACGAAAGAAAATGAGCTACCACTCTTAAGGACTTTTGCCGCAGCTGTAGGGTGGAGGAAAATAAGGAATCTCTGAAACGCTATCTCTGTCATTATTCACTCTTGACATCTGTGCGAGACAAAATCCCCACGAAACACTTCTTCAACTGTCTCGTTGAACTATTTGCCAGTGAAAATTGGTAATCTTGTGGTCTTCCTAAGATACATGAAATGGTTTTTGATCATTTAAGACGGTGAAGATAGCGGACCTACTTGCCTTTTGCGGAAAGCGGAAAAAAAATATGCAAAATATACTACAACAAAGGTTGTACGAGTATTGGCAGGTTAATGTTTGATAGGACAACATACGGCGTGGCTGGGAGATCACTTCAGGAGATGCCGAGTAAGAAATAGTTTCTCTTCTTCCATGTGACTTAAGGCGCTTTAGGCAAAGCTAGTTTACGATAGCCAGGAGCTCCATTGATGCTTCATTTGTATAAGATAGCCAATAAATATCAAGATAAATCAGCAAATGAGAAGCTCCATGTATGGGTGCTACATGAGTTAACCAGAAAAAACCTCATAGACCGATTTTCCAATCGCAAACCGCTGCTGAATCGTAACAAAATCGACTCGATACTAATCCACACTTGGTTACCCCATAAAACCAACTCTCATCCCATTGGTACGAACCCGTCGAAACAGCTCGTTTCAAGGACCTCCAGTGAGATGAGCTCGATTACTTTGACTCATCAAACTGCTAAAACAACGACAACAATGTCAGGTGATCAATCCTTCGAAGTAGTTGAATTTTTTCAGTGGAGCAGAGCTCATCTCTAAGGTGAGCAGGGGGGTTATACACAAACACAAATGATTCATATGTACAAGACACGCCACTGGTCTTTCCCAGAGAATGATAATCAGAAACGTTTTATCCTCCCTTCTTAATTTTATTTCTGAGCTTCATCCTCTCTTGTAGCCTGTGTATAATCCAACCTCCTTCCAGGTTTGAAAGTTCGTTCTAGCCCTATCGCCGCTGAGTCTTACAGCTGCTTTCAAAATTTTTGAGAAAAAAAAACACTTTCTTGTTGTTTTTTTTTTTAACTCTACACCGAGAGTTTCTTTAATTTTATATATTTTTTTTAATAAATTTGTATTTGTATTTCTCCAAAAATAATGTATTATATTCTTTTATTTGGAAAATGTGTCTTGAGTGGTAATAATTTCTTTGTTCAGAGCAAATAAATGGAAATTTTGTTAACACTTTGTCTTAAAAAATAGACTGTCACTCATACTGATTGTTTTTGGTTTTTCTTTTATTTTTGTTTTTTCCTTTCTCTAAACCACTTTCATTTTGTCCGCTTATTTTTCGACTGACTGTATTTTTTACTTATTCATTTATTTATTATAAATGTATAAATAATTATTTTTAGTATATTTATAGTATAAATATATATATATGTTAATAAACTTTTGCTCTAACATTACAATTCCACGCGCAAAATTAATAACAATTCCTGTTGCAGAAGGCATTCAAAGGCACTTAACTCTCTCTCAAAAAAAAAAAAAGAAAAAAAAATATTTTCATACAAAATTAATGCACAATTACTTCAAAAAACCACTCTAACAGTGCGCTCTTGATTGTATTTATGATACAATAAATTAATTACTTTTAATTAAATCTACTACTAAATAAATTAACAATTTCTGGTAAACAAAACGAAAAAGATATGAGGAAATCAGTAAATAAATTGGCACCCTTTGCGTATTATATACGTTTGATGCGTTGCATACTTTTAGCGGCAACTGTCTTTTTTCGCACAGCGCATATTTTTCCATGTTTCATGGCTTTAGAGCAACAATTATGCGCTCTGGGCTCTCATAATACTCTGTCAGCTGAGTGAGTTTCTCACGCTAACAGCAGCGCCCTCTATATTTTTTCTTTGATTGACTGGCCACGCCTACTTATTTTTTACGTTATATTATTTTATTTCTTCTTTAAATCAACTAAACACAGCTTTAGCGCACTTAAATTCATTAAGACTTAATAATTAAATTTAGAAATAAAAAAAAAATTATTACTTTTTCCTTAAAAGTCTAACTGTCTAACATTCTACATAGAAAGAGTAACAACATCTTTCTCTACTACTCGTTCTCGCTCTCGTTCTCGTTCACTCGTTTCATGCCCTTGTGCTATTAATGTCCCGTCTCGTTGACATTCCCCGTCGCCAAGCTCAAAGTATTATCCAGACCAGTTAGAAAACGTGGATTTGCGCCATTTGTTGACGACAATGTTGTTGTTGTTGTTGCTGATGGTAGAACAGCAGCTGTTTCTTTCACATCGTTGGCAGGATTGTCCCACCATTGACGTTCACCGGAGCCGAAAATGTTATAGAATGTACCACAGAAGATGTAAACGAAGGCGGCAATGAAGAAGACAATCTGCCATTGACCCATGGTAGGCTAAAGTAGAGAAAACGACAGAAGGTGATAGAGTTCATTAGTTTTTGCTTACTCTCTCTCTCTCTCTAGTTTCCGTCCAAGCTAAAATCTCACTCAAATTGAGTTTTTTCTTTTCTTAAAGCCAAGACACCTACCTTATTATTGATTAAATTGCCAGCAGCGATGGGCGCCAACAGACCAGCTAAATTCGCCAAGCAATTTGTGATGGCCATGAGAAAACCAGCAAAACGTGGTGACAGATCCAAATGATTGATTTTGAAGCCGGAGTAGATGCCACCGTTAAGACCGACACCCACAGTGAGTATGGCAAGTGTTAGGGCACGATCACAGCCTGTGTAGGAGGCGGCAATAAGGGCCAGACCAGGACCATATTGACCTGTGAAATGCATGGAAATTGGTTAATTAATAATGAAGTGGAAAAAAAATAATTAAAATTTATTAAAAATATGCAATAAAATTAAAAAAAAAAAAAATAAATAAAAAGTATTGAAAATTATTTAAAAAATAAAAATATTTAAAAAAAAAGAAATTGAAACACTCCAAAATGAAGATTTAAACATTTAAAAAACACTATAAAAATCTATTGAAAATGAAAAAAAAAATTATTAAAATAATATAACAATATTAAAAAAATAATAAACTAAAAATTGAAATAAAAATTTTATATTAAAAAAAAAATAATAATTAAAATTAATTAAAAATATGCGATGAAAATTAAAAAAAAAAAAATAATATAAAAATAAATATTGAAAATTATTTAAAAAATAAAATTATTAAAAAAAAGAAATTGAAACACTCCAAAATGAAGATTTAAACATTTAAAAAACGCTATAAAAATCTATTGAAAATGAAAAAAAAATTATTGAAGAAAATATAACAATATTAAAAACAATAATAAACTGAATATAGAAATAAAAATTTTATATTAAAAAATTAATAAATTTCTTAGAAATTTCATAGAAAAATTTTAGCTAACGAAACAAAAAATTTTGAATTTAAAAATATTATAGTTTTGAAAAAAATTTGAAAAACAATTACAATTTAAAATCATAAAAAAAATTACAAATTAAAAAAAATTAAAATTATTTATTAGCTTGTGAAAAATTCAGAAAAATTCATTATTTGAAATAAAAAGGTAACAACTTAAAAATTGTTACAATATCCAATTATTAAATAATAAAATTAAAAAAAGAGAAAATTCAAAAAAAAAAATTAAAGAACCATTAAAGATTAAAACAAAGATTTAAAATAAAATAAAATTTTGAATAACACAAATTATTAAAGAAAAAATTCAAAAATTGATATAAAGATTAAAAAAATAAAAAATTAATTATAATAGTTAAATTTTAACTTAAAAGGGTGTATAATTTTTTAATTAAAAAAATTTAAAAAATTATTGAACCAGTTTTAAAGATGTATGCAGTTTAAAATTAAAAAAACATTTGAAAAAAAAATCATAAAATTGTTTAAATTAAATAAAAAAAAAATTGAAACATATATAAAAAGTATTATTTTTTCATTTTTTTAACAATACATATCTGTATATACTTTGGTTTTTAATTTTTAGTTTTTTCCTTTTCATTTTTAATTGTATATTTTTCTTTGAATTCTTCAAATAATGAACTTAAAAAAATATTATCAAATTATTTTGTTTAATATCTCTCTTTGTACTCACCAATACTGTTGATAAGTTTTCTCGTCGATGTGTGTGTGAAACGATTTGACGAGATCATCCAATCGGCAATGACCGAAATGAACATCGAGAACAGCCACATAGCCAAATAGGGTAGAGAGGAGAGCAAACCGTTCGCCTTCAGAGAGAAACGCAAAACCTGCTTCATGTATGTGGGCAACTCTGTCATTAGCGTCTCATAGCCATAGTTGTGACCCATGTGTGCAAGCAAAATGGCATAGAATGGCAGACACTTGAGTATAGACTTGAACGGAATGTTGGGCACCTGTGCGGTTAAGAGAAAAAAAATCAATTATATAATATTTAAAATAAGAAAAAACACTAAAACAAGTTAATGCGCCTTTCGTGTGCTGTAGCCAAAAACTAACAAATGAAAACTTAATTCAATTGCCCTCCCACGCTCACCTTCTGATCGCCCGTACCCCAGAGACTCGTGTTGATGTACTTCTTCTCACGTTCATCGATGCGTGGATGCGATGAGGGATCCTCGTAGACTAGCCACAGGAAAGCGATCGACCATATGGTACCGACAGCGCCGAAAACATAGAAAATCGATGGCCAACCACCAGCGAAACCGTATTCGGCTAGCAGACCCGACAGTGGCATAGAGATGATCGTGCCGAATTGTGCACCCGCATAAACAGCGGCACCCATACGCGAACGTTCATTGGGTGGTATCCATTTGGCGAGTAGCGCATGTGTACAGGGTACAATTGGACCTTCACCCAAACCTTGTATGAAACGTACGGCGCAGAGACCGATGACACCACCCTCGTAAGCAGCTACAGGTACGAGGAAGGCGAATACCGAATTGAGTAACATACCCCAGCCGAGGAAGTTCAGGGCGCCATATTTTTTCGCTAAAATACCGAAAGGAATCTGGAAGAAAGTGTGAGAAAGAGAGAGAGAGAGATAGAGGGGGTAAGAAAATATATGGTAAGGGTGTGATTTGATTTTTAGTATTAAATTTTCAATACCAACCTGTGTGATCACATAACCGTAGAAGAATGATGACAAAATATAACCTTGTAAACTGGAACTCCATACAAAATCGCCATCTTGTCCATTTTCCTATAAAAATTAATCAAAATAAAAATTTTCATTTATTACAATAACAATACAAAGAGGGTAGTTTGCAATATTAAGAAGGCTCATAAAGAACTTCTTGGCTCTCATTTTTCGCAATTGTTTTGAATGTACCAACAATTTTACTCACCACAACTGTCAAATTTTGGTTCGGACACTCATCGTCTACAACATCTTCTTGATCGCTGGTGATCGCTGTGTGATTAACCATCGCCACGATGGCCACAGACATATTTGTACGCATCACATAGGCATTGGCCATGCCCAGAAAGAGCATGAAAGTGACAAAGTAGCGCGTTGAGAAACATCCTGGAATGAGAATAAAAAGAGAGAGGATTAATCCCACGAATATTAAAGGTAAAACTTTATAAAAATTTATTTAAAAACTTTTGGATTTAATGTAACAAATGTTTATTTCTTATTATAAATTATTTTCTAAAAGTGTACTAAAAGTAAATTTAAATTAACTGAAATTATAAGCGTTATTTTAGTAATACATATTTTTTTAAATATCCCAATAATTATGCAAGATGAAAAAAATCCTTGAAAGAATTAAAAATTTTTTGTAATGGTATTAAAAGTGTACTAAATAATTATAATGTTCTAAAAGAAGATGATTGTCTAAAAGCGCTTTAAAGCCTTTTCAATTCTTTTTATACTTATGTTCTAAAATTCATAAAAGCAGAGATTTATTATTATAAACAGTACTAATAGCGTACTAAAAATGTCAAAATGCTGAGTACTAAAATAATTTTAACTCCATATGTTTTGATTTTTTTCAAATCATTGGTGGTTACTCTGTTTTTGGTGCTTAAAGGTCTATAGGTGTATGAAAAATGTACTAAAATTGAGATATAGAGTACTTCAATAGTTTTGGGTTTTTATTTATTTCTTAATTAAGAAAAAAGTATTAAGAGTGAAGTACTAAAAAAGTTCTAAAACTATATGCTTTGTTTTCTTTAAATTACTTGCTTATGTAGCAATTTTCTTAAGAAAGATGAGTTTTTTATTGCAATGTACTAAAGTGATTTCAAAGTTAGTACTAAAATACTACTCAGTTCCGCTTGCTGCCTTTGAAATCCTAACTTGTCTATGAAACTAGTATAAGGCAAAAACTTTTGCCGTGTTCACTTTCAAAATTAGTGTACTAAATTATTACTTAAAATGCACTAGGAATTTCGAAAAGTATAACAATTCTTTTTAAATATAATTTATTTAAAAATGTTATGTTATATTAAGCGCATGGAGAAAAATTGATTTGAGTGTACTAAAAATTAAAATTTTATTATAAAAGTGGCAGTATTAAAAAGTTCTGAACCGAAATACTTAATGTAATTGCCAAATATTGTATGCAATTGAAAACATACCATATAATAATATATTTAGATAATGTACTATAATTGATGTACTAAAGTTGTACTAAAAATAAAGTAAACGTACACTAAAAATGTACTAAAATATGCCAGAAATATTGAAGCAAGTAGAATAACATCATTTATTTTTTTTTATTTTTAGTACTTTTAATATTAAAGCTTAATTTCATTTAAAAATACTATGTACCTGTTAAGCTTGTGCCGCAAATGGCAAATGTACTAAGTGCTAATTACATATTTATTTCACACGTGTAGGCTGACTGTGTACTAAGTCGGCGTTCAATTAGCGGAATCATCATTAGACTGTGTGTGTATATGTATGTGCTGCTTTAATGTAGTTTAGGTGCTAAAAGCATCAACTGAAATTCATAGAAATCGTGCGGAGAGTCAGGCAAAGTAAATTATGGCAGTAATGAGGGTATGGGCCACGTGAATGTCATCAGCGGCATGTGACGAGTGGAGTAATTGTTTTGCTTTTTTTAACATTTAAAATCAAAAAGTATATATTTTTTTCTATTGAAAAGTAGTGTTTCGAGGAAAAGTGAAGAATTTTTTTTTTTAATTTTATAAATATTAAATATTTTTTTCTATGCTAAAATTGAAAATGAAAAATGTTAAGTTAATTTCGCTTGGCGTTTTTTCCTAAAAATTTCCGTCAATTTATCATTGCCATTGCAAGTGATCAGCGTCACTATTGATCTTAATCAATACAGATGCTTTCATCCCAACAAAAATGTTATTTTTGCAATAACGCGTGTAGCCAGATTTTCGCCGTTGATTTCCTTAGAAGTGTTGATTTTAATTAAGGCACATTATATTTCTGCACATATGTAATAAATGTATATATATTTTTATTTCCTTTATTTCTGCATGCACTTGCTTGAGCGTGCAGTTTTTGATGGGCTATTAATGTGTTTTGAAAATACAACAAGGAAATTTACGTAATTTTTTGTACAGATTTGGCAATCTTTGCACTTTTTGGTGACATATATATTTTTCTTTTGGCAATGATTTATTATTATAATTTCTTTTTTTTTTTAATTTATTTGTATGGTCAAAAATAGTTAGGCATCAGATTGTGCAAAAAATATTGAAAAAAGTTTAAGGTTTTGATTTTATTGAAATTTTTTATATTATTTTAAATTATTATTTTTCTGCTATATTTTAAGTAAATTTTCTACATTTTTAGAGAGAATATTCAATTTTATAATAAGAAAGCTGAGCTATAGAATATATGTGAAAGCTCAATTTTTGAGAGCTTTTTCATTCATATACATATATTTTTTGAAATTTCTTTTGGGGATTTAAATTATTATTGAACCTTAAATGAAAAAAAATTTACATTTTTGCAAGAAATATTCGCGCCCATGGAAGCACTAAGTAAATGAGTTTATATAAAACAACTGACCTTTATTTATTTGGGGTTTTAAAATATTTTTTAACAGTCGGCAATTATTTGCATTTATAGCCAGAAGAAAAAATAAATTTATTTTATAAAAATTTGGGGATTTTTTTTGGATATATGAAAGCTCTCAATGCATGAGCTTTCATAAAAAATATATGAAATTATATTAAATTGCAGTTTGCTAAAATTTAATTAAAGTTTAATATAATGTTTAATAATATTTAACATATAAATGAAAGCTGCGGAGTATGAGCTGAGCATATGAGCTGTACCTTTATAGTATTTTTTTATTTTAGAAATTTTATCTCGCAGTTATGTACAAGAAAAGAAAAAAAAATTAACTTTTGTATGAGATTTCATATACATATTGAACTGTGGAACTTTGAATCAGTTTTATTAAGCAGCAATATATTTAGTGTCAGCACAAGGTTTCTTAGCTTTTTTAAAGTTTTTGTATAAACTCTGTGGAAGAATATTGTAAGCAATATCAGCTTTCAAATAAAGTGTAAAATCCTTTAATTCATCAGTTTTGGTTGAAATTAAAAAAAATGTTTTAGTTGTTTAAAAAGCTTTATAAAAAGAAGTGAAAGCTTACATTCAAGCGAAAGCTTTAAAGCATAAACTTTGAACTTATTATTATTTTTTTGTTCTAGATCAATTTAGTTAATTACTTTAAGTAAGTATAAACAAAATGAGCATATTATATTTCTAAAGTAAGTTAAAAAAGTGACTGTTTACAACTGTAAAAAAAAATACAATTAAATAGTCAAAAGCTGTTCAAAAAAATTTTCAACGCCGTCTGCATGAAAAATCGCCGGCGTTTTTTGAAGCAACCCAATAGATGCTCTTAATATGAAATAATTTACGTAAGACTTTTTGTAATAAAAATAATAGAAATAAATTTTTTAAGCTACTCAAAAACTACTACTCAAAAACCTAAACAAAGAAAGTTATACTAACCCAACAAGATACGAAGTAGGCGTATAATAACAGTAATAGTTAGCAGGTAAGTACCGTTTGTATGAGCTTTTAATTGATATAATGACGCCTTTATGAGCAAGAGAGTTTGCTTTTATTATTAGACAAAGTAAATTTCCAACTAAAATCTGTTTATGTAAGCTGTAATTAAATTAACCCAGAATGGAAGAAAACAAGTTGCATAAATTGGATTTTTCTTATTAATTTGCTTGTAAGACAATCAATTTGAAGGAAAATTATAATGATCATCGAAGTAGCCCTTTAATCCAGTGAATAATGAAAATATGAGTATTCTTTTAATAATAGATTTTTTTTATTTCCTCAATATTTATTTGAATTTTTTTCATCTCTTAATAATATTTAATATTTTATATATCCTTACGTGGAAAAATTTACCGAAATTTCGTTATAAAAAATCCAAGCCAAAGTCAGTTTTATATCGAAAATTATCGTGATTGCAAAGAAAAACAATTGAAAATGTTAGTATTACAATATATTATTTGTTTATTCAATTTATTTTTAATTAAATTTGTCATTAATTTTTTACTCATTTTTTATTATATTTTATTTTGATCAATAAGCATACATTAATCATTATTTTAATTTTTTAATTTTAGAATAAAAGAAAAAAAAAATAAAATATCTTATATTCAAAAATTCCCTTTGAAATAAATAAATAAATATGTATATTGATTTTTCGATGTATGCCATATTCCAATTACAACTTGAATTTTTTGTATCTAACCTTGTACAGAAGTACTTGACATCAAAACATACCTACAGATGCCAGTTTTATCAGAACAAAATTATTCAATTAGGTATTTCAATTAAGCGCTTCATTAATGAACTGATAACAGGGGCAGATTGCAGGTGAAAGTATTGCGAAAAATTCAGCCAGATAAAAAAAAAAACAAAAAAAAAACAAAAAAAAAAACAAAAAAAAATGTCATAGATGACAGCAGACTAAGTGATTACTTAATTTCCTCAGCGAAATATGAGCACATAATAATATACATATCAACAAGTATATGTGTACATACATATGTAATAAGAACATAAAAGCATGAAAAATTTATATGTATTTTTCGGCTTTAGCTTTTTCAGCTTTTAGTATCTGTCAATTTCCGCAGACGTCAGCTTGCTACATACGTATATAAATATATATTTAGTTACGACGTTCGACGCACACGTGCATGACGGCACCAGTGGAAAGCAACAAGCGACAGTGAGCTTATCTCGACATAAGAATAAACGAGCACAAGCACATGCTTGGCTGGCAATGAGTGAAAATTTCTTAAAAAAAAGAAGAAATGAAATAAGTTAAAACAGAATTATACTCGAAAACTATATCATGCAATAAGTATGCCTGAATTTCACATATATACACGTATGTAAGTATTGACGCCTGTACGCGGTTATTGTTTGTGGTGAGCTCAGCAACTCGACTGATTTTCTGGCTGTAGAACGGATTTTCGTCAACTTACATAAGTTGCATGTAAATATTTACTTATGTTTTTATTCCTTTTATTTTTGTTAATCCTGTATGAAATATT